CCACGCCGCAATCCCTTCTCCTCCATTCTCCTCTAGGGATCTTGAGCGTGCACGCACACATGCCTGGTGTGAGTTTAAGCCACCTGGTCCAGGACTCGAACCATGGTCGACTAAATGGGAGTCCAGCAACATAGCCATTACGCCAACTTCTGGTCCCAAAAATGTTAATTTTTTATGTATTGTGCTTTAGGAAATGAGTATTTTCCTAAGAGTCATATCTGATATCAGTTAGTAATATGACTCAGACATTTTGCCTTTTTGGCCTTCAGTTCTTTTTATCTGTATAATTAATAAACTAAATTTAATGATTCTTACAGTTTTAATATTCTGGTCCTTTGGTATTTCTTACAATCCCTTTAAAATACATTCACTTCCCTTTCAAGTTCTAGAGCCTCTTTGAACTTTGTTCATTCTTTAACACTTCATAGTTTATCAGTTATTTCCCCTTATTTGCACATGTTCTTTCTTCAAGAAAATTACAGACTCTTTTAGGACATAGACTGTGACCGTGTGAGTTTATTTTTGTTAAAAAAAAATTTGAACTCCTTGTATAGTTTTTTCATAGTATGAATTTTTCTTGAGCTTTTTGATACTTTTTGATTGGGTTTTGTTTGTTTGTTTTCTTTTTTATGTTTATTATTTCTTCTGTGAGTGAAAGAGACAGACAGCATACCTCAACAGGGTTATGATGCCTATGATCCATCTCCAGCCTCAGCCAGCCCTGGACCATGGGCATGTGTGTGCTCAGTGTACTGAGAGAGTGTCTAGCCAGGAATTCAGAGCCCTCCTATGTGAGTCAGCCTTATAGAGAGAGAGTACATTTTATTGCGAGGCCACTATCTGTACTTGTTTTTTGCTTTTTTTAAAAGACTTACTTTATTTAACTTTATTTATTTACCTTTTTTTAAAATTTGACCAGAGAGGGACAGAGAGAGACAGAGAGACAGAAAGCGAGAAATCATCCCCCAGGGGGGATGGCCACACCGCAATCCCTTCTCCATTCTCCTCTCGGGATCTTGGGCACGCACACGCACGTACACGCACCAGGCATGAGTTTAAGCCACCGGGTCCGGGACGTGAACTGCGGTCGATTACGTGAGAGTTCAGCAACATAGCCATTATGCTAATTGCTGGTCCCTAGAGAGAGAGCACATCATATTGTGAGGCCACTATGTGTACTTGTTTTTTGCTTTTTTAAAAAAACTTATTTATTTATTTACCTTTTTTTAAAATTTGACCAGAGAAGAACAGAGAGAGAGAGAAAGCAAACTGCCAGGTCCAGGACTCAAACCGCAGTCAACTACATGAGAGTCCAGTAACATAGCCATTATGCTAATTGCTGGTCCCTAGAGAGAGAGCACATCATATTGTGAGGCCACTATGTGTACTTGTTTTTTGCTTTTTTAAAAAAACTTATTTATTTATTTACCTTTTTTTAAAATTTGACCAGAGAAGAACAGAGAGAGAGAGAAAGCAAACTGCCAGGTCCAGGACTCAAACCGCAGTCAACTACATGAGAGTCCAGTAACATAGCCATTATGCCAACTGCTGGTCCCTGGTTTTGATAGTATCAGAAGTTCCTTATGAGCACTTAAAGGACAAAGTAAAAAGAGAAGGCAGACTATTTTCTATTTCATAAAAACGATTTGTTGCTTATAATAGTTTTATATTAGTTATTGAAATAATATGTTGGGTTTTGGAAACTCATGACACATTTTTGTATAGAAAGAGATAGAAAATTACGTCATGACTTTCCTGGCAGCCTAATAGTTATTTAATGTAAAATCTTCTGAATTTTGTAATATTTTATATTAATAGCAAGTTTATAAATTTAAGTTTCTTACTAATTGGCCTTTTTTTTTTTTTCCCAATCAGTTCTCTGAGAGTGTGAGTGGTACAAAATTTGAAGATGATCATCTTTCCCATTATTCTCCCTGGTCTTGTGGCACCATAGGCTCCTGTATAAATGCCATCGATTCAGAGCCCAAAGATGTAATTGCTAATTCAAATGCTGTGTTAATGGTATGATTTTGCTGGGATGAAGGAGTTGGAGGTGGGGTAGATAATATACATTGACTCAAGTTTTAGAATACTGTTATCTTTGTATCATTAGTGTATAACTCATCTGTAAGCAGCAAATCTTTATTTAGTAAGTCTGAAATAAATTGCATTTAATGTTTAAATTATTTTAACTTAGTTTGATGCTTTACTATACTGGCTTGATTATCATTAATATCTTGAGCTAGTGTTAAATTTACCAGAATTACATTTATTTTAATGGTATACATGTACTTTTATTAATAGCTGACGTAATTGCCAACAGTCCTTTTTTTGGGGGGGTTTATGCAGGACCTGGATAGTGGAGATGTTAAGAGAAGAGTTCATTTATTTGAAACTCAGAGAAGGACAAAAGAAGAAGACCCAATAATTCCCTTTAGTGATGGACCCATCATCTCAAAATGGGGTGCAATTTCAAGATCTTCCCGTACAGGTTACCATACCACGGATCCTGTCCAAGCCACTGCTTCCCAAGGAAGTGCAACTAAGCCCATCAGTGTATCAGGTAATCTATTTAAGTAACACCTAGCCTGCTCTGTTGTAGGTACTGTAATTTTTAAATCTCAACCTGTGAGACAGAGACCATTTCCCTCTATTTTACAACAATAGTGAACTCAGATTTGAATGGAGAGTAAAGGTGCTAGGGCACTTTGAATATTTGAATATAGATCTGTGAAAAGTGCACATTCACATCTATGTACTGAATTTTTACTTTGCTAATTATTGTTTCAACATTTCTACAGATTATGTCCCTTATGTCAATGCTGTTGATTCAAGGTGGAGTTCATATGGCAGTGAAGCCACATCATCAGCACATTATATTGAACGGTAGGTAAACTTGCTCTCGGTTCTTTTTGTTTTCACCAGCTGGGGTGAGTTTATTTGGGCTGCCCAGGTCAGGAGGCCCTGCCCTAGAAGAAGGTGTTGGGCCTCCTCGTGAAGTGTGGCTTGTGCTAGTGACGCAGGACTCAGTGGGGCAGCAGGAACTTGATCTTGGAGTTGTGGAACTACTCGACCACCGGCCAGTGGGCACTTTATTGTCGCAGTCTCCTCACCTACATGATCTGATTAGAGTGCATGTGGGCAAGCTGCCAGACGGCCGTGTCAACGGTAGCACTGGGTGATGGCACCCAGTGGTGAGGTCCCAATAATCCTGGTACATGTGGGTGCTACTGCACAAGTTGAAGGGTATCTAGATATAGAAGTTCTTTACCTGCAGTGGAGACTTTTTGATCACCTGTCACAGAAGATGATTTCCCCTGAAGACTTTATTTTCTTTAGCTGAGATAGTCAGGACCAGAATTGAGAATTGGCAATCATGTGGTTGGGGGTAGAGGGGCGACATGATGCATTTGGGGATGAGCAGACAGTGCCTCACCACCTTGTACTCTCCAAGTGTGCCTGAGGCCTTCATGACCCTCTCTCCACTTTCACCACCGGCCACAAAAGGGCCCTCAATTCTTTAGGATTAGGATTTTTTGTTTTTAAACTTTGTTTGTTTGTTTGTTTGTTTAAATTTGACCAGAGAGAGAGAAAGTGAGAAAGCAAGCCACCAGGTCTGGGGACTCAATCTGCAGTCAGCCACGTGGGAGTCCAACACTCTTAACCACCACGCCACCTGCCGGTCCCAGGATTGGGATATTTTATTCTTGCTTTATACGTATCTTCGAAGCATAAACCATACCCACATTTTTTCATGAAATGTGCTTTGCTAGTTTGAGCTGTATAACTAATTTCTGGAAAAAAAAGAAAAGTCTTACTTTCACGTTTGGAATGATGACAAAAATTTTCAGGATTAATTTATAATATAAAATTTATATATAATCATTACTACTTTTGTTGCTTTATTTATTTTACTTTTATTATAATAAACATATTTCTTTTTTTAAAGGGACAGGTTCATTGTTACTGATTTATCTGGTCATAGAAAGCATTCCAGTACTGGAGACCTTTTGAGCATTGAACTTCAGCAGGTAGGCTTTATGTAACTTAGCTTCGAATAAAAAAAAAAAATAGAGTGATACTCAAAAGCTATTGTTATAAACTAACTCCTTTTTTTTCCTCTCTCCTTATTCAGGCCAAGAGTAACTCATTACTTCTTCAGAGGGAGGCTAATGCTCTGGCCATGCAACAGAAGTGGAATTCTCTGGATGAAGGCCGTCATCTTACCTTAAATCTTCTAAGCAAGGAAATTGAACTGAGAAATGGAGAGGTAAAGAAACGGAGTATCTCAGCTTCATGCTTAATGTATTTATTTCCTGTTGCTGCACATTGGTTCATATCATTGCTTAGTGGATTTTAATGTGTCTTTTTTTGATGAGTGAATAAGTCCTTTTGAAAATTACACTAGAGGGGCCAGCAGGTGGCCTGGTGTTTAAAGTTTTAGACTCCCAAATGGCCAATAGTAGTTCAAATCCTGGACCTGGCACCTTCCTTTCTTACTTTCCCTCTCTCTCTCTCTTTGTCTCTCCCTGTCCTGAGCACATGTCCCCTATAGAAAAATTGAAAATAATAATAATATTAATCAATTAATAATTCATTTCTTAAAGAATTATTTTAACTTTATCTGTTTATTTGTTTTTCTTAATTTGACCAGAGAAGGATAGAATTAGAGAGAGAGAGAGAGAGAAAGCAACCTGCTTACAGTTGGCCGTGTGGGAATCCAGCACTCTTAACTGCCATATCACCTACTGGCCCCAAATTAATAATTCTTAAAAAAAAAAAATTACAGTAGAGGATCTGATCGGCCCTTTGACTTCAAGGTTAAGAAAGCCCAATTCGGTAACCAGCAGTTAGCGTAATGGCTATGTCGCTGGACTCCCACGCAGTCGACCGCAGTTCGTGTCCCGGACCCAGTGGCTTAAAACTCACGCCGGGCGCGTGTGCGTGCGTGCCCAAGATCCCGAGAGGAGAATGGAGGAGAAGGGATTGCGGCGTGACCATCCCCCCTGGGGGGTGATTTCTCGCTTTCTGTCTCTATGTCTCTCTGTCTGTCTGGCGAGCGCACGCGCCCTACAGTGAAAATCTCTCAAAAAAAAAAAAAAAAAGCCCAATTCATGGGGGCCAGCAGGTGGTACATTGGTTGAGGCGCTGGACACTCCCACATGGCCAACTATGGTTCAGGTCCCAGACCTGGTGGCTTGCTTTCTCATTTTCCCTCTCTTTCTTTCTGTGTCCCTCTCTGGTCAAATTTAAAAATGAATGAATGACTAAATAAAATTAAATAATTCTTTTAAAAAAAAAAAAGGAAAGAAAAGAAAGCCCAATCCCACATGGTTGATCACAGAGTTTGAAACCCAGGCCTGATGGCTTGAAAAATATATCAGGCATGTGTGAGTACATACCCAGAATCCTGACAGGATAGAAGAATGGAGAAGGGATAGCAGTATGACCTTTAGGGTAGGTTTTCTTTCTCTCTTTCATGAGCATATTGCACCCTCTGGCAAAAAAAAAAGACTGACTAGAAGTAAAATTGTACTCCCAGATTTTTATTTTTTAATTTCTTTCTTTCTTTCTTTGTTAGTTTGCTATAGGATGTGTTCACTAGCCAGAGAGAGACAGAAAGAGGGAAAGTGAGAGATCACTGTGCCGTATGGGGGATAGCCATGTGCAGTCCCTTCTGAATCTCTTGGGATTTGGGGCATGCACACACATGTTACTTGGCATGATTCTCAAGCTGCTTGGTTCAGGACTCAAACCACACAGCCAGTCATGTGGGATCTAGGCACTTTAACCTTCATGTCATCTTAACCTCCACCCTACCCGCCTGCTCTGTATGTAGTCCTGGTTTTCAAAATAATTCATTAGATGGGACCAGCAGGTGGCATGGTGGTTAAAGCGTTGGACACTCCCACATGGCTGACTACAGTTCAAGTCCTGGACCTGGTGGCTTGCTTTCTCACTTTCTCTCTCTCTGTGGTTAAATTAAAATAAATAAATGAATAAATAAAAATGAAATAAATTTAGAAAAAAAACAGTGATAAAATGCTATAAAATACAATAAAAATTTAAAAAATAATAATTTATTAGTTAATGAATTCTCATTTTAATTTAAAAAGGAAGCCCAGGTTAAACAGGTATAAAATCAATATTTTTCTTATACAGAGTGATTATACAGAAGATGCAACTGATACTAAGCCCGATAGGGATATTGAGTTAGAGCTCTCAGCACTTGATACTGATGAACCTGATGGACAAAGTGAACAAATTGAAGTAAGTGCAACAGTTAGATAATTAGGAGGCTTTTTTTCATTTGAAATTTTGAAGTATAAAGTATTTCATACTGAAGTGTTAACATTTTTTCTTAGGAGATTCTGGACATACAGCTTGGTATCAGTTCTCAAAATGATCAGTTGCTGAATGGAACAGCAGTGGAAAATGGGCATTCAGTCCAGCAACACCAAAAGGAGCCACTTAAGCAGAAGAGACAGAGTTTAGGTGAAGACCATGTGATTCTGTGAGTGTTAGACAGAAAATTCATAACCCATGGGCATATAGGACATGAGTATTTAAAGAAAATAGTTGTGTTAAATTCATTTTTGACCTTATGCTATGAAGGAAAGACCTTCTATTAGGAAATGATTTGGTCACTACGGATTTTTAGGAAAGAAGGGGTAAATTTGAGCTAACCAAGTGATCCATTTTGCTAGCTTGAAACTGCTTTTTGTTGGGATAAAGTTAGCCTGTGCTCCAGTATCAGGTTATATTTCATCAGTCTGATAGACTTCTAAACTACAAAGTGGAGAATTAAAACCTAGATTAAGAATTTCTCTTTAAAGGAACCAGCAGTTAGCATAATGGCTATGTCGCTGGACTCCCACGTAGTTGACCGTAGTTCGCGTCCCGGACCCGGTGGCTTAGAACTCACACCGGGCGCGTGTGCGTGCGTGCCCAAGATCCCAAGAGGAGAATGGAGGAGAAGGGATTGCGGCGTGGCCATCCCCCCTGGGGAGTGATTTCTCACTTTCTGTCTCTATGTCTGTCTCTGTCTGTCTGACAAGCGCACACGCCCTATAGCGAAAATCTCTCCCAAAAAAAAAAAAGAGAGAGAGAGAAAAAAAAAGAATTTCTCTTTAAAAACCATTCTTAGATTTTCTAAGATTTTCTTGGCTATTCCCATTTTGTATAATTATTGTCAAAAATATTGGCTTAATCTTGAGCTTGAAAATTTAGCCGTTGCCAGTATTTAATTATTGTTATTATAATTTTTGGAAAATGGGACTTTCTTAGTGACTTCTGATACTTATTAGTGTAAAGATAGGCCTTTGCTCTTAACATTTGATATAACATTTATTAAGGATGTATGGTTACTCTTAGATGTTTTCACTTAAAGCTAATTTGTTTTCACTCTTGTTTATTTTCTCTCAGGGAAGAACAAAAAGCAATTCTGCCGGTAACTTCTTGCTTTAGCCAGCCACTCCCAGTGTCTATTAGCAATGCAAGTTGCCTCCCCATCACCACATCTGTCAGTGTTGGCAACCTCATTCTGAAAACTCATGTTATGTCTGAAGATAAAAATGACTTTTTAAAACCTGTTGCAAATGGGAAGATGGTTAACAGCTGAAAGGAGATTCATCTTTCAAATTTGTGACCACACCATGGAAGCATTTACACTAGCTTTTTATATATATAATATATATTATATAATGTATATTTTTTTTAAAAAAAAGATATTACTGGGGGCATCCATTTCCTGTGGACTCTTTGATACTTCAAGCCCTCTTGCATTAGCATTATAAAAAAAAGAAAATTTACTTTACTAGGGTAACATGTTCACTTTCCAGAAATAATTGGAATCTGGACAACATTTAACTTAAGCTTCAAGCAGCTTTTTATGAGTTTGTAGCAATCCGGTGCAGTAACTGAGCCATTTCCTATTTTAAATGGCTTCTGTAGAAAATTAACAACTCAGTTATTAAACTAGCAGGATCCTACAATGATACATCTAGTGAAAGTAGACTTAATTAACTTATTTATTTCTATTTTATGTTTCACTGAGAGAAATTTCCATCTCATTCCAGCTGCTTTATTTATCTTTTTCATGGAACTTTGCATGGATTTTGTTTTCCTTTTTTTCTTTTCTTCTTTTGAAGAGTGGAGTTAGATGTTCTTACCATAGAATTTTACAGGGTTATATACTAGCTTTCTTTACTGCATTATATGTAGGAGTGTGGTGCAGTGCTTTTATCTGTAACATTTAATTTTTTTTTTAATTCTCCATTTTTCAAGAATAGTTTCTGCTTTGTTAATATTTATACACAGGCTACTTGTTGAGTAATTAATTAAAAATATAACCAAGTGCCTAAGTCTTTCAGCTGATATACTAGATATTAAATTCTCCTAAGTTATGCAGAATCGTTTTTACAATTTTGATAAATTATGCACTAATGTAATGGCAGTTTTTTAAAATGCAGATTTAAGCCTGTACATTATTGAATCTGATGACTTGGCAAAAGAATCAGGTGCTTTCAGCTTTCTTGAGAAAACCCTGTATGTAGCGTTTGCACTGACTAACAAGATGGTATTGCTGGGTTTTTAATTTAAACTAATTAATTTGGATGTTCATTGCATTATCTTGGTTAAATATTATTTGTTGTTATTTCATGTTGGGGTTTAATTTTCCTTGTTTTTTTTTTTTTTTTTT